AAAAAAAAAAAAAACAACAAACTTTTAGATAACTAGTACTTTGCCCCATGTTTATTTTTCTTTAGGTTTTTCTACCAAAAATCTACTTACAAAGGTTAACTCTAAACACCAAAACATTAAATCTTAGTAACATGTTACAGAAAGTAAATACCTCACTGCCATGATTGACACCTGCAATTGCATTTATAATAAGCACTGCAGATGGTGTGCAGAGCCACAAAGGTAGAATAAATAACACCAAAAGCCAAAGTAATCAATATAAAATACTGACGTAGAGATTCTTAGAGGGAACCGAACATGGATGCACAAAAGAAAAGTGAAATTATAATGGTCTAAGTCAAGTAATTTGAGAATGTAAAAATATGTTGCTACCTTTTGCCAGAAATCCATAGAAAACCTCATGTACCAAATGTCACACTGGCTGTAATCGAATCGCCCGAGAATAGTCACATTAGACTCACTGGGTTTAATTTTGTCTATATCGTCTTCCATTTTGCCAGGTTTCCAGCACACAATGGCATTTTCACAAGACTTTGAAAGAGAAAAATGAGAAAAAAAAAGATATGTTATGTAAAGAACTGAATTTAACTTTTGTTTAAAAAGCCTTTTTTCTCTCTATTATCTTTTTAGAATTGACAGTCTTAAAACCTGGTTATCCATCTACTAAATACAGTGATATACATTTATTTATATTTGGAGTCAATGCCCACACTCGACGACAAGAAGTTATATTATCAACAGAATTTAACAATACCCAAAAGCATTATATTATCTGGAATATTCATTTTGAAGTCACAATTTCTCTTCCAAACCAAATTCAGCTCTAGATACTCTGGCATCCAGAGACTTGAGTGTTTTATAGCAAAGGTAAAATTATATAAACTGTATACAAATAGATGGCTCTTCAATGTGTCCCCTGCTTAGAGATAAGATTATAATAGAAGGCAATTAAACGCGTGGTTTAACATCAAGACATTGATATGAGGATAGGACGGAAATAGACTAAGTTACACCTTCTCTATCCTGTAACATCATATCTTTCTTTGCACACATCTAAGTTAAGCGCCAAGTAGTAAAGAATACGATGGAAGAAAAATTACAACACAGTGGGCACTATTCACATTATAGGTCAGTGGTGTGCCAATTAAGGGACCTTTGGCAATGTCCCTGGCCTTTAGTAGGGAGAGGCCAGAGATGTTGCTGAACATCGTACAATGTACAGGATGGCCTCTCCCATAAAAAAAATTATCTAGCCCAATGTCTCAACAGAACTTAGACTGACAAATTCTTGTGTAGGTAGAGTGCCTCCTGGAGTTTTACAGGACACAGCCTACACAGTCACATACGGCAGCTCTGTCAGGTTCACTGACCTATAAAATAGTTTAACAGCAGAGGCACAGGAAGATTAGGGAGGAAACAATACCCCTTTTTTTTCTTCCTCTCTGCCTTTTTGAAATCACAGGGCTATATATCTGATATACAAATTCTTTACTGTAAAGTACCTTGGACATTACCTACTCTAATAACTCTTAACTAAGTGCACGATTGGACTGAAAGCCTGTCTACTTCTCTCAAAAGACTCATCTTGGTCCCAACCTTACTGAATGAGAACCTCTACAAGTGAAGGCCAAAACAGAAGAATTGTAACACAGCTCTTCAAGTGCTTGTCACTGACTGCACTGGTAAAGGACCCTTAATTAGTAAAGTGCCCTAATGGAGAACTAAAACTTAAGGAGCTAAAAAGAATTTGACAAGCCTAACAGATGACTACACTTAAAAATCATCTAGAAAGCTTTTTAAAACTAAAATTCCCAGGTCCTTGTGCCAGATTTAGAATCTCCAGGAGTGAGGCCTAGGAATCTATTTTTACAATGTTCTCCCAGTGATTCTGATGCAGAAATAGATTTGAGACCACCAATATAGTTCATTCAGGTCAGCTTCCTGAAACCTAAAATGCAGAAATTCTTTCCTATCATCTGATTAAGTTCTAAGAAAAGAAATTTTAGAGCTGATGGCTTTTTACTTTTACTTCCAAAATGATGGAGTAGATATACTTTCTCCTATTATCCTCATTGTAGCTTGAAAGACTAAATATCAAATATAAAGCAAACATAAGACTCTGAAAGGTACAGAGAAGGCAGTCTGGTTAGGAACCTTGGGATGTGAAGCACATTGAGTTCCTTGGTTTTCTTTTGCCTCATTTACAGACTGGATACTAGAGAAGGCAGCAACTTCCCCATACTAACGGGTAAAGGCCAAAAAAATCCCAACAAAAGCCTGTTCTCTCTGGCCAAAGAACCAGGAAGATAGCAACATAGCAAGAGAGAACATTTTCAAACACTCTACTCTAGCCAAACACCACAGGAAAAAAAAAAAAAAAAAAACTGTGAGCCCACCCTCAGGTGAACCAGCCAAGGCCCAGTGGGGAGCACTTCTCAGGTGGTTAACTATGCACCTCAAGTGCATCCTCAACTCACCCTATCCCTCATCATAATGAGGTAACTCTTCTCCTTTCCAGCTGGGGTGGTATCAGAGGCGGCCCAGCAGAAAGTTAGCATGTTTACCACCAGCCACAACCCCCAGGGTCAGTGGAGACCACTTGGGAAACAGTAATAAGACACTATCATCTGACTTGCCCCACCACCTGCCAATCATGAAGTAGCGCTCCCTTTCCCCAGCTGAAAATTTATCAGAGGAAGCCTGCTGCGAAAGATTTAAATAAAATAAGACCCAGAGTCTTGTATAATACTCAAAATATCCAGATCTCAATCAAAAATTCACTTGTCATACCAAGAATCTTAAAATTCTCAATTTTAATGCTAAAAGACAATAAATGCCAACATTGAGATGACATAGATGTTGGAACTACCTAACACGGATTTAGCCACCATAAAAATGCTTCAATGAGCAATTACAAACACACTTAAAACAATTAAAAGTCTCAGCCAAAAAAAAAAAATAAAAACAATCAAATGGAAATTTTAGAACCGAAAAATTACTATAATCAAAATAAGAAAATCAATGGAAAGGTTCAACAGGAGATGAATAGAGTCAATAAATTTAAAGTTAGAACAGAAACTATCCAATCTAAACAAAACAAATGTACACAAGAAAGGCCCAGGGGTCCAAATAAAAGATGTAACATTCATATCATTAGAGTTCCAAAAGAAGGGCACAAGACAGCAGGCCTAAAAAAGAATTTGAATAATGGCTGAAAAGTTTCCAAATCTGGGACAAACTATGTCCCCCAAAGACATAAATCTACTACAAATTCAAGGTGAATAAACCCCAAAAGATAAATTCAAAGAAATCTGTATCAAGGCACATCACATTCAAACTTCTGAAAACTAAAAACACATAAGAAAAAAATCATGAAAGCAGTTAAGACAGAACACTTATGTTTAGGAAAAAAACAATTCCAATGATGTCAGGTATCTCATCAGAAACCACAGACCCTGGAAGGAAGGAGTACAACATTTTTCAAATGTTTAAAGAAAAGAATTGTCAACAGAAAAATCCTATAAAGAGCGAATGTACCTTTCAGGAATGAAGGAAAAATGAGGCCATTCTCAAATGAAGAAAAATTAAGAATTTGTCACTGGCAGACCTGCCCTAAAGGAATGATTACAGGCACCTTTATAAACATAAAGGAAATAATATAAGGAATCTTGGAACATCAGGATGAAAGAAAAATGGAAAAAGCAAAATGAGCAAATACAATACCCTCCTTTCCCTCTGGAGTTTTTAAGTTATGTTTGATGGTTGAAGCAAAAATGGTAATACTTTTTGATGTTCTCAAGTATAAAGGGAATATTTAAGACAATTATACTATAAATGGAGGACAAAGTAATATAGAGGAAATAAGATTTCTATACTTCGTATGAAGTGGTAAAATGTTGATACACAGTAGACAGACAAGTTATATAAATATATATTTATACTTATGTTTGCATGGTAGTATATTTTTAGATAACTTTTTACTTTTAATCTATACATATTTTATACCTAGTGAACTTTCTTATAGATAGCATAACAAAAATACATAATATATATAAGATATGGCAACAAAATAGGTAATATGCATATATAACGTAACCGCTAGAGGAAACACCAAAAAAGCTACATAAAGAAATGTACTCAACACTACACATAAATCAAAATGGAATTCTAAAAAATGTTCGCATAGGGGTGCCTGGCTGGTTTAGTTAGAACATGTGACTCTTGATCTAGGAATTGTGAGTTCAAGCCCCACATTAGGTGTTGAGCCTACTAAAAAAAAAAAAAAAAAAAAAAAAAAAAAAAAAGGTGTTCATATAACCTATATGAAATTAGGGGAAAAGCCCAGATAAAAGAAAATAAGAAAAAAAAAAAAAATTAAAGGATCCAGTCATTAAGACATAGCAATAACAAGCAACCCACAGAGCAGCTAAACATCATAAAACTGAAAGCAGTATGGGAAAAATCCACAATTACAGCTGGAAACTTCCCCATCTCTCACTAGTTGATAAAATAAGTAGACAGAAAAAGCAGTGCAGATATGGAATTCAACCACGCCATCAACAAGAGCAGCTAACTCACATTTACAGAACTTACACACAAACAGAACTGCACGTCCATTTCAAGCTCCTATGGAACATATACCTCAGATAGGGTCATACAATAAATCTCAAAAAGTTTAAGAGCCAAGATCATCAAGAGTATGCTGTGACCACAATGGAATCAAACTGAAATCAATAAGAGAAAGATACAAGAAAATCTCCAGCACCTAGAAACTAAACAATACACTTCGTATCAAAATTAATGGGGCGTCTGGGTGGCTCAGTCGGTTGAGCGTCTGACTCCATGGGTTCGAGCCCCGCGTTGGGCTCTGGGCTGATGGCTCGGAGCCTGGAGCCTGCTTCTGATTCTGTGTCTCCCTCTCTCTCTGTCCCTCCCCCGTTCATGCTCTGTCTCTCTCTGTCTCAAAAATAAATAAAAACGTTAAAAAAAAAATAAAAATAAAAAAAATAAAAAAAGAATTAGTGAAATGCAGCTAAAGCAGTGCTGACAGGAAAATTTACAGCATCTAATACTTACTTTAGAAAAGTCTCAACTCAATAATCTAAGCTCTCTTGGAGCACCTGGGTGGCTCAGTCAGTTAAACGTCCTGACTTCAACCCCAGTCACAATCTCACCGTTCATAGGTTCAAGCCCCACATCAGGCTCTGTGCTGACAGCTCAGAGCCTGGAGCCTGCTTTGGATTCTGTGTCTCCTTCTCTCTCTCTCAAAAATAAATAAGCATTAAAAAATTTTTTTTAACATTTATTCAATTTTGAAAGGCAGAGAGAGACAGTGCGAATGGGGGAGGGGTAGAGAGAGAAGGAGACAGAAACAGAAGCAGGCTCCAGGCTCCGAGCTATCAGCACAGAGCCTGATGAGGGGCTCAAACTCAGGGACCGCGAGATGATGACCTGAGCCGAAGTCGGCCACTTACCCGACTGAGCCACCCAGGCACCCCAAAAGAATTTTTTTTAATAATCTAAGCTCCCACACCTTAAGAAATTGGCAAAAGAGCAAAATACATCCATGGGAAATAAAAGAAGAGATAGAAAATTGATGAGTCCTTACCAAGACTGACAAAAAAAGAAGACAATAAATTACCAATTTCAGGAATGAAACAGGGCCATCAGTAGAGGCAGTTATCAAAAGGGCAGTAAGAATACTACAAACAACTCTACACACAATTTTTACTTTAAATACAACGGACCAATTCCTCAAACAGCACAAATTACCACAACTCACACAATATAAAATAGTTAATTTCAACAGTCAGTTCTTTTAACTATCAGGGAAACTGAATCTGTTATCCTTAAAACTCTCCCTCAAAAATTTTTAGGCCCAGATGATTTAACTGGAGAATTCTAACAACCATTTATGAAGAATTAACATCAATTCTATAAACACCAATTCTATCAATTCCAGAAAATAGGAGGGAAAACTTCCCAATTCATTTTATAAAGCCAGTATTATCAATAGGAAAACCAGACAAAGACATTACAAAAAACTTTAGACTAATATCAGTCTCATGAACACAAATACAGAATATATTTAACAAAATACCAACTATTAGCAACATATATAAAAATTATACACTATGACCAAATAAACTTATTCCAGGGACTGGAATCAATATTAAAAAAAAACAATGACAGGGTGCCTGGGTGGCTCAGAGCAGAGCGTGCTTGGGATTCTCTGTCCTCCACTCTCTGTCCCTTCCCCCAATCACACACACTTTCTCTTTCTCAAAGTAAATAAACTTAAAAAAAAGAAATACACTGCATTAACAGGCTAAGGAAGAAAAACCACATGACCATACCAACTGAAAGAGAAAAAGCATTTAACAAAATTCAACAAGGATTTCATGATAAAACTCTCAAAAAACTAGTAAGGGAGACAGTTCTCAACTTGATAGAGAACATCTACAAAAAAACAGCTAATTGTCAAACACTGAATTCTTTCCCCTTTAACATCAGAAACAAGTCAAGAACGTCTGATCTTAACATCACTACTCAACATAGAACTGTAAGTCTACCAGTGCAATAAGGCAAGATCAGAAAGGAAACTATACAACTGCCCCTATTTGCAGATGACATGATAGTCTATGTAAAAAAATCCCAAGTCCTCGAAAAAAAACCCTCCTAGAATTAGGTCACAGGATTAAAGGTCAATATATAAAAATCAACTGCATTCCTATATACTAGCAATAAACACATAGAAATAAGGAATATCATTTGCAACCACAAAAAAGAGAAGTACTTAAGTATAAATCTAACAAAGTATGTACACGACTTCTACGCTAAAAGCTACATAATGCTGATAATAAAAATCAAAGATCTAAATAAATGGACAGACATGCTATGTTCATGAACTGGAAAGCAGAGCAAAGATATTAGTCCCCCACCAAACTGATATATAGGTTTAACATAATAGCAATCAAAATCTCCCTTGCCCATAAAACTCCTGGCAAGATTTTTTATAAAATGTAGACAAGATTATTCTAAAATTTAAATGGGAAGTCAAAGGAATCAAAATAACTAAAACAACTTTGAAAAAGAATAAAATGGAAGAAATCACTTAACCAATTCCAAGACTTACTATAGAGCCACAGTAACCAAGACTGCATATAGCAGTGGTAGAGGGAAATAGAACAGAAAAACCAGAAAAGGCCTCATACAAGTAGGCCAAACAACTTTGACCAAAATGCAAAAGCAGTTCAAAGGAGAAAGAATAGTTTTTCAACAAATGGTGCTGAATAATTGGCTATCCACAGGCAAAAAAATGAACTACTACCTAAACCTCATACAAAAATTGACTCAAAATAGATCATACGTTAATATAAAATGTAACACGACAAAATGCAGGAAAATTTCCTTAGGATCCAGAGTGTGAAGAGCTTTTAAATGTAACATCAAAAGCACAATCTATAAAATAATTTTCTTCAAACAAAATTCAATAAATTGAAATTCGTCAAAATTAAAACCATTTGCTCTACAAAAGACCCTGTTAAGAGGATGAAAAGACAAGCTACAGATTGGAAGAAATTTTTTCAAACTACATATCTGACACAGGATTCATATTCAGAATATATTCAGAACTCTCAAGACTCAACAATAAAAAAAAAAACACACAAAACCAATCCAATTAGAAAATGAGCAAAAGATATGAAGAGACATCATCGAAAAGGATATATGGATGGTAAATAAGCACATGAAAAAGATGTTCAACATCACTAGCCATCAGGGAAATGCAAATTAAGACCACGATGAGGTATCACTACACACCTATCAGAACAGCTAAAATAAAAAATAGTGACAGTACCAAATGCCGGCGAAGATTCGGAGACACTGGATCTTTCATACATTGCTGGTGGGAATGTAAAATGGCACGGCCACTCTGGAAAATAGTTTGGCAGTTTCTTAAAAAACTAAACAAACTTAACCATGACCCAGCAATTGCCATTCTAGGCATTTATCCCAGAGAAATGAAAACTTAAGTCCACACAAAAACATGAACACGATTGTTCATTAGAAGCTTTATTTGTAATAGCCCCAAACTGCAAAGGACCAAAATGTCCTACAATAGATGAATAGTTAAATAAACTGTGGTACAGCCGTACCATGGAATACTACTCAGCAATAAAAAGGGGAAACTATTGATACACACAACAACTTGGATGGCATTATACTGAGTGAAAAAAACCAATCTTAAAAGGTCCCATACTGTTAACATTCCTGAACTGACAAAATTCACATGTGATAAAATGATGACATAGAACTATACGCACACATTGTACAATGTCAATTTCCTAAATTTGATATTGTATTATAGTTATGTGAGATGTATGTGGGAGAAATCAGGTGAAGGGCAATATGGGACTTCTCTGCTTTGAAACTTACTGTCAATCTAATTATTTCAAGGTCAAAACTTTAAAAAAAGGAAAAACTATACCTGGAAGGCCAAGAAAAAAGTTAGGCTCTGCCCAAGAAAATATGCAATGCCCTGAAATCCACATCAAGAAAGGAGACTGGACAGCAATTTTTCCAAATATGACAATCCTAAATGTTCAGATAACATCACCAACAACTACTCTAAATTATCAGCAAAAAATATGTAAATATACATCAACACTTTAGAGATCAGGGGTTGGCAAACTACAGCCCATAGCCAACCCCAGCTGTTTTTGTAAATACAAATTTACCAAAATGGACACAAACATACCAAAAAACCCACCAATGGCTTTAGAAATTGGGTTATTTTATAGCATCAGATATCAGAGAAGAATATCATCTCACAAGTTAACATTTTTCCTATTATTACAGCACAAGTTATAACAATTCATCAGGATGTTTTATGCCTAAAACAAATTTCCAAATCTATGAGACTTCAAGGAAGAAAAAAAAAGGAATTTCTGCCATCTGCCATCCAATTTACCAAGCTATATGAAAAAACTGTGCTCCCTGAAAAGTTCCAACTCACACAAACACAAATAACAGAAGTACAGCTTAACAACAGTTAGCATACCTTGGAAAGTATCAAATCACCTAACCATCGCACACAATCGACATAATTCCTATGTATGTCTCTGGTGGAAAAGTCAGGAAAGTGAATTTTCTGAGAAATAAATGGCCTGAAATGGAAATGTCAAAAGTTAAAAGAAAAAAAGATAGTAGAATCACACTAATTTTCACTTAAAAGATTTATAAAACTTTAATAAATACAATAAGCTATCTAAAGTTAAGCATTAACAGTCTATGAAAGTCAATATATCTAGATTATTTCAAAAGATCGTCATCTTTCTAGAACAATGACATATCATTCCAAAGACTGCTAAAGAGAAAGCTAGATGAGAGTCCTGCCTTGAGCAACAATCTCTGGAAATGGTATCTGACAAGAATCTGGCATTTAATAAGACTTTTCCTGTATTTGGGTAAGTAAAACATACTGCTATACATACATACATACATACATATATATACATATATTTTGCTTAAACATGTCTGTGAGAAGACCACCAACTACCAGTTCTTCCCGTTCTACAGATAATTAAAAGTATACCTAACATTTCTAATCTAGTGATTCAGTTTTAAACTGAAATTAATTATAAAAGAATGATATGCCATGAATTAGTTGTGTCTCTTGGGCAATTCAACACATCCTTTTTACTTCTTCATATGTAAAAAGGATGCTGGGTTGAATCCTCTCATACATTCCTCCCAATTCCAATTCTAGGAGCTTTTCTTTATTAAAACATTAAAATGTTATTCATGATCTGTTATAAATTCTCTGTTCTGCTGTAATTATGTTAACTGCTTTTTAGCCAAATAAATATTATAATCTATGGTTAAACTTCTCAAGACCAGCATAACTCAATGCTACTTTCTGTAAACTGTAAAATATAATTCTATTTATTCCAAAGCTCTAGAAAATATGAAAACAAATATTATACTAACCCCTTGGGTTCTAAAAGAGAAATCTGGAAGTTGTACTAATTCTCAGAGGCCACTGAGGTCTCATAAATGTTAATGCATTGAAATATTTGTTGATGGGTTATAAATTTAACTGATAATCTATTAATAATCTGGTTTGATAAAGAGAAAATAAATGCTAGCTCTTTGTTAAAAAAGAATTGTAAACAAAGTTAATAAATGGAGATTTATGACAGTTACAGTGAAAGTGCTAACAGCCTGATCAGATACTGAAAAGACAGTTACTGAATTAAAGAATCGTAACATTTCAGGGGTGCCTGGGTGGCTCAAGTCGGTTAAGCATCTGACTTCAGTGATTCATGGGTTTGAGCCCTACACATTGGGCTCTGTGCTGACAGCTCAGAGACTGGAGTCTGCTCTGGATTCTGTGTCTCCCTCTCTCCCTGCCCCTCCCCTACTCGGCACTCTGTCTCTCTCTCACAAATAAGTAAACAATAAAAAAAATATAAGCATTTCAAAAACAGGTTTCAATTGGAACTTTTCAAAAATAAAAAAAAAAAAAGAAGATTGCCTGGCTGGCTCAAAGGGTGGAGTGTGTGTCTCTTGATCTTGGGGTTGTAGGTTCAAGCCCCACATTGGGTGGAAAGATTACTTAAAAAATGAAAATCTTGGGGCGCCTGGGTGGCTCAGTTGGTTAAGTGTCCGACTTCGGCTCAGGTCACGATCTCACGGTCCATGAGTTCGAGCCCCGCGTCGGGCTCTGGGCTGATGATGGCCCAGAGCCTGGAGCCTGCTTCCGATTCTGTGTCTCCCTCTCTCTCTGACCCTCCCCCGTTCATGCTCTGTCTCTGTCTCAAAAATAAATAAACGTTTAAAAAAAAAAAAAAATGAAAAAAAAAAAAAATGAAAATCTTTATATATATTAAGAAAACTTCCCACTCAAAATCTCTTGAAGGAGGTTCCAGCTTTTGAATTTTCTCCATCTAAAAAAGGGATCATCGTTTAAAGGAATTACATTATCATGAATCAAAGCCAAGAAACCCATTTAAAAAATCAGGATTTACTGACGTGACTAAAAATTAAGAGTGCTGACAAATAATGCTAGCAACATTATTCAGAAGGACCCTTTACTCTATCCCACAGCAATTTTAAGCAGCTTAACATTGTTATAATGTAAAAAGCCAAGCATATACATACCTAAATAAGTAAAACATGCTACTAAATTAAGATGAAAACGCAATTTAAAGGGGATTTTGAAAAATGAGCCACAAACATTAGACTAAAAGCAAAGGGCTATATTTAAAATCAGTAAATTTTATGGTATGTAAACTGTAAGGGATTATGTAAAAATTTTGGATAAAGTAAAACACATCATCAATCCAACAGCAAGAAATAACTGTTTTAAATAGCACAATTTTTACCTGTTAGTTTTATTTGGGTTATAATCATAAGATTCTTTAATTGCATTCATCATTCTCTTTGAATTGATCCTCCAAAGTTTAAGAGAGTGATCCATACCACAGGACATTATTTTTTCACCCAAAAGATCATAATCCTGTACGTAAAACAAAAAAGCTTAGACATACAAAATTGCCCAAATTAGACTATCCAATTTTCATCTGAGGTACAGTGTAGTGAAAATTGTATTTTAAGTCACAAACACTTTGAGTTTCATCTATGTAGCCCATAAATCAGAGCTGTTACTGATTTCAAGATTTAATTTTATCTGATTTGTCACCATAGCATATATGAGCTTATATAAGTCAAGAAAGTAAATTGTTTGAATTTAGTTTTATCTATTCAATTATTTTTAAATATTACCTTTGCTTGATTTTAAAGGTAAATAGAATGCTGAAGTAATTATTCTATGATGCAAAGACCTGAGTTAAGTTTGTTTTCTTTGTCTATTAAACAATGAAATTGACAGCTGTATGTGAAAATATACAATGAGTCTTTAAACAATTGAAATTTTGCTTTATGTGTATATTTAAGTCAAAATACTTCAGTTACATTAGGTAAGTTCACTTTTATTTTATTTTTTTAATTATTTTTTTTTTCAACGTTTTTTATTTATTTTTGGGACAGAGAAAGACAGAGCATGAACAGGGGAGGGGCAGAGAGAGAGGGAGACACAGAATCGGAAACAGGCTCCAGGCTCCGAGCCATCAGCCCAGAACCGGATGCGGGGCTCCAACTCACGGACCGCGAGATCGTGACCTGGCTGAAGTCGGACGCTTAACCAACTGCGCCACCCAGGCGCCCCAGGTAAGTTCACTTTTAAAAAGAAAAAAGGTCTAAAAAAAGGAAATAATGTATTTTAACTTTTTCATTTGCTATATACCAATTGTTAAGACTGCTAACAGATCATCCGTTGTAATAACCTTAATGTACCTATTTCATAAAGCAATGAGGCACAGAGATGCTCTTTAACTTAGCATGTGATTCATGTTAATGAAAATCTCACACATCAGTCCTTCTAGTGGAACTCCTCCTGTATTATAGAGAAGAGGAAATAGACTGTGTACTGCTCTCATTTTAAGAAATAACAATAGGGGCACCTGGGTGGCTCAGTAGGTTAAGCGCCTGACTTCGGCTCAGGTCACAATCTCACAGTTTGTGTGTTTGAGCCCCGGGTTGGGCTCTGTGCTGACAGTTCAGAGCCTAGAGCCTGCCTTGGATTCTGTGTCTCCCTCTCTCTCTGCTCCTCCCTCATTCATGCTCTGCCTCTAGCTCTCAAAAATAAATAAAAGTTAAAAAAAAATTAAAAAAACAAAGAAAGAAAGAAATAACAATAGAAGGGTGCCTGGCTGGCTCAGTCAGTAGAGCATGCAACTCTTGATCTTGGGGTTATGAACTTGAGCCACACACTCGGTGCAGAGATTACCTAAAAATAACATCTTAAATAAAAAGAAAAAGAAAGAAAGAAAGAAAGAAAGAAAGAAAGAAAGAAAGAAAGAAAGAAAGAAAGAAAGAAAGAACAGTAAAGAGTTCTATCTATGGAGGAGAGTATCTTCCTTATTAATCTAGGTATTTGTGTTAAACCAACCTTCGAACTGATCACTAACACTGTTTTCCAAGAGCCTAAGGGCTTTAGATTTGTGTTTACTGAATTCAGAAGTCTGGTTGCTGCTACTTCTAATTACCTCAATGTCAACAGCAACATGACACCCTTAGAGCCAGTAGCTCTAATTTATAATTCTTAAAAAAAGGATGGTAGTCATGGCTTTTAAGACACAGAAGACGGGAGAGTGCTGCTGCAACTTTTAGAAAATCCAAGGTGACAAAGTAGGTGAAATCAGGTATGATTCTCACAAAAGCATACAAACTCCAACTTCCAATTATTTAGTACTTCCAATTAAAATGCTACCTGCTTCAAAACATGGTGCCCCTTTACATAGTTTAAGAAAATACTGAAGAGTTGTAAAACCACTAAGTAAGTTATAAATGGAACATAAGTAAAGCTAAAATAATGTAAAAATGTTAAGGGGCGCCTGGGTGGCTCAGTCAGTTGAGCTTCCGACTCTGACTCAGGTCATCATCTCCTGGTCTGTGAGTTCGAGCCCCACGTGGGGCTCTGTGCTGACAGCTCAGAGCCTGGAGCCTGCTTCAGATTCTGTGTCTCCCTCTCTCTCTGACCCTCCCCCATTCATGCTCTCTGTCTCAAAAATAAATAAACATTAAAAAAAATTTTTTTTATGTAAAAATGTGAAAATACTAGCTAAAAATACTAGCATCACATCATTAAAATGGTTCAATAGATTATAATAAAGTTAACATGACATCAAAAACTTATCTAAAACTCAGTATAAACATAATGAAACATTTCCAAAAAATTGGATCTTATATTTCAGCTTTATTTGAAGTTCATCTTTTATTTGAAAGATGAGAGTTGGGGTGGCTGGCTAGCTGAGTCGGTTAAGTGTCCGACTTCAGCTCAGGTCATGATCTCGCAGTTTGTGAGTTCGAGCCCCGCGTCTGGCTCTATGCTGACAGCTCAGAGCCTGGAGACTGCTTCAGATTCTGTGTCTCCTCTCCACCCTTCTCCCACTTGTGCTCTGTCTCTCAAAAATAAATGTAAAAAAAAAAAAAAAAAATTGAAAGATGAAAGTTGATCAACTGCTAACTGGCTTAACCTTTTTCTTTAATGACTGAGAAACAGCAAAACAAAAGTTAGCTTGGTGATTTTTGATTGAACAAGTTCAAGATATTCTTTCATGAGAATCCAGGTGCTGGTATAAAGTACAAGAGTACAGATAAAACACAGAGCCTTATTCGCTTTATTCCTTCATCTGTAAGCTAATAACCTTGTTATATCACAAGTAAACGAAATGAGTGCCTGACAGGCTATATGAAACAAACCACATGCTTTCTTGTAAGAGTTCCATGGGGATCGTTCAGAGCTCTGTAGCTCTGTACACCTGAAGATCACCGCCCTGCAGCTTTCAACTTACAGCACTTAGAACTTCATCTCTGTGCCCTTCTACGCCTCCAAATATTGCCACCAGAGTGTCTGTTTGGATATTCCATAATCGTAAAGCATGATCTAGTATAGACATAAAAAAAAATTAAAATGAACTTTAGTCATTCATTTACTCTGGACTTGCAAAACCTCTTTAAAGAAGTAAAAACTACTGAAGTTTGGAATTAAGTTATGCACAGTGGGGACTAAGCAGAATCCAATTATATAGCAATTTAAAATATTTACATCAACATGTAGACTTAAGTATGAGCTCAAACTTTCAAGATCAAAAACAAGTATTTATGTGGTCTTAAAATATGTTTAGCTTATTTACCTCAAACAATTTCTTTTAAATAACATCTGATTTAATGGAGTCATGCTCATGACATAACACTTAGGGATTTGACATAAAGTTTGTTATGTCATAGAACAAGATACTACAGTTTTTCCCTCCATAGAATCCACATTTAGTAGTTGAAGGGGACTGAACAGATTTACGAGATCTTTACAGTAAACCCAAAATAGGATTAAAAAGTATATATATCACAACATACTTTTATAGTATTAAAGACCTCTTAGAAATATTAACTATAATTTGAGCAATCTCATCCACTAAACATTAGCAACAAAATATACAGCATTAATATAAAAATGAATGTACAGCTTGATATCTGGCAATGCTCAAACTGTACATGACTATTAATCTATTCCATAGGGAACACTAAAAGACAGTAACAAATTATGTTTAGTAGTGGAAATTAACATTGCTATAAAAATTATTTCTTAAAAAAAATTATTTCTTGATTCCAATTGTGTACAAGTTTTTGTGTGGACATTTATTTCTCTTGACTACATATACACACACACGGAAGTGGTATTTCTATGTTTAACTTTTTGAGGAAATTCTAGACTTTTTTTAAGGTGGGTACATTTTACATTCCCACCAGCAATGTATAGGGGGTTCAAACTTCTCTACATTCTAGTTAACAGGTTATTGTCTGTATGATTATAGTCATCCTACTAGGTACGAAATGGTCTCATTGTGGTTTTGATTTCTATTTCCCTAATGATAAATGATGCTGACCACCTTTTCATGTGCTCACTGGACAACTGTGTGTATTCTTTAGAGGAGGTCTATTCAAAACCTTTGACGCTTTTTTTAAAGGGTTGTCTTTATTGTTGAGTTGTAAGAGCTCTTTATACAAATCCCTTATTATACAACTTGGAAAATATTTTATCATATTCTGTAGATTATTTTGCACAATGGGGAAGAGCTGAGTTAAAAAGTTGTGATAGTTAGAACAAGTGCAGCATTATGACCCAGATCACCTGTAAAGAAATACCTGGGTCCAGCTACTATTATCAGAGGAAAGTTGTCAGCTCTTCCTAGGTGTCAATTTCTATACTTAAGCCTTGATAGTTAAAGAAAAATCACACTGAAGTATTTTCATGTAAGAATTTTGACTTGAGGACATCTTTTAATATAAACAGATTGAGGGGGAGATTATAGGTTTGATAAGCCTTTATTTTTTGACAAGCCTTTAAAAAGAATAAACTTGACTAGAATAATGTAGAAGTAAAAGGGAAAAAGGCAATCAAGAACAGAATGTAGAAATAAGAACAAGCCAGCTCATTTCAGAGAGCTCAGAAATGAGTAAGAGGCCTGAATGAGCCCTGAATAAACTTATAATGCCAATATAGGCATATGGAAGGCTTTCTCTTTATAAGTATGGGAAACATTTCAAAGAGCTTATACTAGAGAACTTAGCATTTTAAGGAAGTCTATTAGGGGATCCTTTACAAAACAAAAACTTTATAATATATAGAGAAAAACAATTTTCAGATGCATTATTTCTTACTACATGACTGGTTAGTCGTAAGATGATTTGCAAAACTTTTGAAAATTCTTAAAAACGTCCTAACTTTGGTGTTCTGCCACTAAAATTAATAAAGTTTAATAAAATAATTCAAATGAGGATGAATGATCATAACACACTACTGCACATAAGAAGGGTAACACATACTTAATCTTCAGTACCTATTATCTTATTTATATCTGATGTTAACAGTGTATTTTTCATGGTCTTTCAACTAATTCTTGGTCTGGGAATGCTAATAAGGTCTAAGATTTTTCTACTAAAACATACTTTATAAATTCTTTTTAAGTTTGGCTTTTTTTTTTTAACCTAAGAACTCTCTGTCCTTAAAAAAAAAAAATCATTTCCAAATAAATAGGACTAAAGAAACATTTGCTTCTCTTACCTTTACTTACTGACAGGAGAAGATTTGGATCTCTTGGGTGGAATTTCAGCTCATTGATAGCATTTCCATGGCCAACATAATGCTACAATAAATTTATAACATTCAACTTTCATATTAAATCAATAAATTCTCTCGTTAATCTTAAGAGAATGGAAAAATAGTTTCACTTAAAGTACTGGTTCTCAACCCTGGCTGCACATTAAAATCACCCAACAAAGTAAGGTTAAAAAAAAAAAAAGAAAAAAAGACATTGAAGTCCCAACTGCAGGTATTTTGTTTTGACTGGATTAGCTGAGGCCCAGCTAAGGATTTAAAAGACCCTCAGGTGATTCTAATGTGCCCTAGGGTTAAAAAACTTCTGATTTAAAGAGGTTTGTAAAACTTCTCTCGGTATCAAATTCCTAGGCTTCACCTTTTGGTTCTTTACAAGGTGCCCTTGACTCTAAATCCCTAATTAAAAGATTTGGAAAAGACTTACTCTTCCGCTATAGTTCATTCCAGTCATTCCAGACTCTCTGAATAAGGCAAGGCAGGAGGCAAATTATTCTATTTTTTAAAAATTTTGAATAAAAACTTCCTGCTTATTCCTTACTTTGTATTATCTAAATGTGACAAAGGTCTCAAAAGACTTGTCTAAAGGAAGCAAAAAGCAAAGTACAAATCAAGTTAGAAAGTATACAGATACTGATTCCACTAGTTTTAAATTAAAAAATAGTAAGTTTTCACAAGTGTGCATTCAAAACAGGGCAGATCTAACAATGTAACCAAAAAAACCCACCTTTATGCACTGCATTGTTATGGGATTAATTATCCTAATTATGCCTCTAGATCCGGCCACAGCCAGCAAAGGATGGCTTGTATTGCTATCATATGTCCATGCACAAGTATAGAAGTTTTCATCAGCCTAAGAAATGCCAGTTAAGAAATATAATTTGTTTTTGAAAAGTAAACACGTCAACGATTATAGTACAGTACAAGGAAAGCTCCAAAGAAACGCTCAAGTTTTTACAAACCAGTCCTTCCGCTCAATTTGATTACTATTCAGAGATGCTTTCACTCAACTGTCATTTGAAAGCAGCCATGAACAATATGTAAATGAATGGATATGGTTGTGTACCAGTAAAAGTTTATTTACACAAACAGGTAGCTAGCCCCACAAGCTGTAATTTGCTGACCCCTGTTTTAGCCCAATACTTCTGAATATGCATCTCTAGAAAAAGATCAGCAACTATGCAGTTTTCCACTTTTTCCTGTGAGACTTTCCCAGTAAGGCTACAGAGCACTTCTTTCCACATAAATGATGGAAGACTGAATATCCTTGCTTTTTCTTTTTTGCTAGCTTTTTCAAATGGATCTTAAAAGAAACAGCTTTGACTGTCTAACCTTTTGGCTTTTTAAACTTTTCTTTTTCTTTATGTACTCATGTTTTGCAATATTTTATTTCCTAAACAAACTGCATGTTTATTTTTTCCCTATAGGCTTTGTTGTTCAAATACTTGGGATGAATGCCAGTCACAGCTTCTGATCAACCCAAATTCATCAAATTAACTACCCTGACATGATAAAACTCTACGCAAGGTCAAAGAAACAGGAGGTTTAGCTACTCTCTTGCTATCATTCTCTACTACTGGATTTCCAATGCTCATCTCCAGACATCCTTCCCCCCTCCCTCATATCCACTTTAAAATACATTTCTAGGGATCAGGAAAATTTAAATACAAGGAGTCTCTTGTGACAGTAAAGGAATAGCACTGGGTAAAGAAAGGACAAAGTAACTTTAGGGAACTAATTAATTTAGAAAAGTTTTGGTGTACTTATTGAAATTTCTTTAGCCAAAGATATTAAAAACCCAGGAAAGGATACATCAGCATCCACATAAGATTGCAACAACCGGATTTCTCCTTGTGAGTGACATTCATATAAGGTAACCTAATAAGAACAAAAATACGGTAAATTTCATTTCAAATACAAAAACATACTCTCTTCACCTGTGAAACATCTTAGTCACAAATGTGTCTTAGAGACACTATAGAAACTACTGCTTTAAAATAACTTCTTTAGGGGCGCCTGAGCGGCTGTTTGTTAAGCGTCTTACTTTGGGTCAGGTCACGATCTCACGGTTCACGAGTTTGAGCCCCACACCAGGCTCTGTGCTGACAGCTCAGAGCGTGGAGCCTGCTTGATTCTGTCTCCCTCTCTCTCTGCCCCTCCCCCACTCATGCTGTCTTTCTCTCTGTCAAAAATAAGTAAACATTAAAAAAAAATTAAAAATATCTTTTACTTATTTTTGAGAGAGAGAGAAAGTGAGAGCACAAGTAGGGAGGAGTAGACAGAAGATCCAAGGTGGGCTCTGCTGACAGCTGGGAGTCTGATACGAGGCTTGGACCCCCCATTGTGAGATCATGACCTGAGCCCAAGTCAGACACTTAACCAACTGAGCCATCCAGGGGCCCCTAACTTTCTGATGTATGGGAGTCCTTTTTATTTGCCATATATTCTAAAATTAATACTATCCGCATAATATACAATTTAACTGTAATAAATTTCTTTCCATTTTTTATAGTTTATAGTTGTGTTAGCAGTAACTTAATAATTTCAATAGAAATAAGAACTAGCAGCGCCTGGGTGGGTCAGTCGGTTAAGCGTCCAGCTTCAGCTCAGGTCATGATCTTGTAGTCCTTGCGTTGGGCTCTGTGCTGACAGCTCAGAGCCTGGAGCCTGCTTTCAATTCTGCGTCTCTCTCTCTCTCTGCCCCTCTCCAGTGTGCACACACGTGCGCACTCTCCCAAAAATAAATAAACGTTAAAAAAATTTTTTAAAATATAGTAACTCTATAATAATCACCTATCACTATTAAGTTAATAAAAGCTCTACATTAATAGTCTAAAAAAAATTCCTTATATGACTGCTAAACTAGGTTATATCCCAGAAGGTAATTTTTTTTTAAAAGAAGTCCAAACAGAACTTTTTATAATTCAATATACTATGTAATGGCCTTCAATGTCATTTTTTTAAGTGTTTATTTTGAGTGAGAGAGAGATTAATTGTGAGTGGGAGAGGGGCTGAAAGAGAGGGAGAGACAAAATCCCAAGCAGGCTCCCATGCTGTCAGTGCAGAGCTCAAGAAACTGAGCCACCCAGGTGCACCCCCTTCAATGTCATTTTAAATGATAACAGGGATACTTTTTGTTAGGATGCATGGAATATTTAAAATAGCATACTGGAGCACAAATTATACTAATTCTCATATTATCATGGCCAAGTTAGTGAAGTATAATCTTAGGTTTACAGTGATGTCTTACTTAAAGTAGATTCAAATTAATCAATGCAGTATGCTCCCAACTAGGAAAAATAACCTTAATCTTTTCTTGAAACCACATCACTTTCCCCACAAATTTTTTTTTTCAAAGAACTTAGGAACCAGACAACTATAGGCAGGCTACATATCACAAACTACATTTGGCTAAACACCAAAAAAACCCCTGCTGTCCCATGTTATCAACTGTAGTAGCCGAGTTTCAAATTTTCAGAATTTCAACAACCTAGTAAAGCACCAGAGCCTTAAATGTAATTAGACCTTCCTTAAAGGAAGTTTTCCAGGAAATTACCTAAAGTCAAATTTTACTTTTTAGAAAATAGGTATCTAGAAAAAAATGATCTAGCCCAGAATAGATGCATATGTGTTCCTGTGATTTGGAAATATGCTGACATTTCAAAAATATGGAGATGACAGTCCCTGGTTATAAAGTTAACTTTGAGAACAGAATACCAACACCAACAAAAAACAAATACAGAAAACAGTGTGCATTAAATCATGTTCTTTTATTGCCTAAGAAGCTTAGCACAATTACTAAAGAACCATAACATTTTTTTTTACTCAAAGTAACAAAGTATAAAACATCTCTCTGATTCACTCCTCTTCACCTCTTGGGCTAAAGGCAGAGGAAGTGACTTATATTTGTTATCAACCTATATCCAATTCGTCTATTTCTTCCATTTTTCTTTTTCCAAATACAACAATAAATTTCTATATTCCTCATTAACTCCTAGTACAGTATTAATGGATACCCAGAATGTTAGCTAATACAAAGTTAAGAGGACAATTTTTCCTTGAGGTGATTTCAATTTAATAACTCCAGAGACGCCCTGGAAAGCACTAAGGAGTCTTCCTCTTCCCCATTTATTTAGAGTTAAATAGAATAATAAATTGCTATCCACCAGCTGAATCCCTGGTCTAACTGAAAAGTTAAATAATGGTTTCTGTTAAAATGTGCCAGCATGCTTCTTCCATACACTTCTTTCAGTTCAAGATACTTTTGGCTTCCTTAAATAAAAACAAATCTAACACAGATGTTTATTGAAAATCGTTAAAATACTTTCAATAACTATTATACAAATCTACTGGATATATGCTTTGTGTTTACAGAGAGCCACTAATTAAGTTTATTTTTAAGAAACTACAGACCTTGGGGGCATCTGGGTGGCTCAGTCAGTTAAGCCTCCAGCCTGCGACTTCAGCTCAGGTTATGATCTCATGGTTCGTCAGTTCGAACCCCTGCTGAGCTCTGTGCTGACAGCTCAAAGCCTGGAGCCTGCTTCAGATTCTGTCTCCCTCTCTCTCTCTGCCCCTCTCCCGCTTGCACTGTCTCTCTCTCTCTCTCAAAAATAAGTAAACATTAAAAAAAATATTAAAAAAAGAAAACTACAGACTTTGTATCTTAAATGATAAACTAGTTAAATCACTTCCAAAAACAGAAGTCAATTCTTTCAGCCATGCAAAACAAAATATTTATGAAGACAAAATATAAACAGAAACCTGTTTCATGAACAATTGGGAATACATGAAATAAAGATGGATTTTCAGTCATGAATACTAGTTTTAACAATTTTAGCTAGTTTTGACAATCGCTAAAACGCTTCACTTTTACATAAATACCATTAAACCAGCTATGCCAAATTTACTTCAAAATCATCACACTTTAATATTATAATAATACCAGAGTCTAATAATCAAGTCAAATGCCAAGCAGGCCCCTGAACACTCACTCTGTTGCTTCCTACAGTTGCAAACACTAACGGATCTCCTTCTTTACTATGCCAGTTAAATTGTACTCCAAACAATGGTTGATTATGATCTTCCTGTAAAATAATCATAAGAAAAATTACTATAATTTAGAAAGAAAAGAATGGTGAACTGACCGTTTTCCCTTATAACCCCTCCCCCCTCCAAAAATGTAGGCTACTATTTAAGTCAGAGGTCAGGTAACAAGCACTCAACTATGAATTAACACGATTTGTCTTCTATTTACTTAAACTCAATCATATTCTTCTGAATCAAAATTAAACTGGGTTAATTATTGTAGATGCATTTAATCTCTTAGGACGTAATTTATGTTTCTGAAATAGGAGATGAACAAATACACCAAGAGTTAATATAGCTTCTCTAACACTCACTAAACTTTATTAGGTTTAATTTTTCCCTTGTAAAGCAAAGCATATCAAACTCCATTCAAATCATTGCTTTCTATTATTCCTATAGAAACAACTTTAAATAATCTTGCTTTTGGGTCCTAAAAGAAAAATATCCCATGGAGTTTTATCATGAACAAGAATACTGGAACACTGGGGACCAGGGGTGACAATAGACTGTAACTTACTAGGAAGCTATAAGGAGGCGCACAAAAAACATACAGTTAACCCTTGAACAACACAGGTCCACTTAAACACGGATTTTTTGGATAATTACAGTACTGTAAACGTATTTTCTCTTCCTTGTGATTTTCTTTTTTTTTTAAGATTTTATTTTTATTTTATGTATTTTTAATGTTTTAATTTATTTTTGAGAGAGAGAGAGAGACAAAGCACAAGACGGAGAGGGGCAGAGAGGGAGACAGACAAAATCAGAAGTAGGCTCCAGGCTCTGTGCTGACAGCTCAGACTCGTGAACTGTCTGGGGCTTGACTTGTGGGGCTTGAGCTCGTGAACAGTGAGATCTTGACCTGAGCTGAAGTAGGACACTTAACCAACTGAGCCACCCAGGTGCCCCCCTTGTGATTTTCTTAGTATCATTTTCTTTTCTCTAGCTTATTTTTACTGTAAGAATGCAGCATATAACATACAAAATACATGTTAATCGACTTTATGTTATTGGTAAGATCAACCAATAACTAATGTTATTGGTGAAGTATGTTATTGGCTTCTGGTCAGCAAGGGATTATTAGTGGTTAGGTTTTTGGGGAGTCAAAAGTTAAACTTGGATTCTCAACTGCACGGGGGCAGGGGTGACAGCATCCCAATCTCTAAGTTGTTCAAGGGTCAACAGTATTCACTTTTGTTCACAATAATTATTTTTCAGCCTTAGAATTTTACTGGCAATCTCCTGGCACTGAACATTAACTTTCACACTCGCTTTTAAAGTGTTAACAACTTTCATTTCTCATCCTTTGAAAAGCCACAGCTTTAGGCTTCTGAAATATTTAATCAAATTATTTAAAAAGTCAAAACCAACACCTTCCAGATATATTATCTGGGTTAAGATAATTAAATGGGTTAAGATAATTAAATATTAACACAAAACTATTAATGGACACTTTGCTTTTTTAAAAAGTATATTAATTTCTCTCCTTCTAAGAGAATATAATTTGACACACTGAGCCATGTATATTGCTACACCGACAAGAAAATAATTTCCCTAGAGACATAACTTCTTATGCTTTCCCAATACTTTACCTAAAAATATATTCTTATATTTAGAAAGATTCTAACTTACATACGTAAAAGATAATACAATGTACATTTTTGTCAGTGTAGGAAAAATACTCCCAAATTTAAAAAAGAGAAAAAGAATAATATGTAAAGGAAAACATTTTAAATAAATATCAATCCTTTTTATAACTAAAAATGCTTTTGAGGAAGCAGCAATTTAAATAACTCCAAAACCTTGTTTTCTCCAAATACTAAATATTCAAAAAAGTTAATTTACACATTTTCCTTTGAAAACAATTTCAAATAAGACAAATGATAAGAATTAAATATTTAAAACCTGCAGAAAAACATGTTTCAATTTGTGCTGAAAGTTAATGGGTCACATTCAGTTCTTTTTAGTAACAGGTATCAGGAAATGGCTTTATGTTTTTAAAGTTTTAACAAAATGTGAAGAATAACATATCCCAAAATCTTTTATCTTAATACAAACAGTAAAGAAAACCCTGTATGCAGTACTAGGTATTACCCATTTAAATTAAAACAAAACAAAAAAAGCTAAACAAATGGGACTGTAATAACTATACGGTCTACGCTACAAAAAAAACCCCTTCACAGCACTCTAATTTTAAACTTGACAAAGTACCCTGAGCATAAAATGTTTATCACTGAGAAATAATTCTGAAGCCTAGCATTCAGTCCACAGGATCTGTCTTTCAGCACATACCTTGAGACTATTTACACACTTGAAAGAATATTTGCATTTCTTTGACTTCCATTTTCCCTTCCCCCAACTTTTCCTTCCAGGAGCATTTGGTGTATTTGTAGGTGTATCAGGGCGTTCAGTGTTTGTACCACTTTCTATACTGACAGCATCATCCTGTAAGCAGCAAATTGGGAAAAATTACGTGAAACAGCAATACTGTAGCAGCAAATGACAGGGTAGCTGCTCATTGACCTAAAAGCAGTGATTAATAAATTCTGTAAGAAATGCAAAAATTTATTCCTGTCTCCAAATAAGGATATAAAGGAAACTAGCTACGCTTTAGGATTTGTGGATTTCAGCAACAATCTAAACAAAAAACAAATCAGAAAAACAAAAAATCTAATCAGAATAATGAGAATAATACTGCCTTTAAATAACAAAGCATTGGTCTGTGCCAGCCACCTTAATACACTGGCTCATTTCATCTTTACAGCTCTTCACAGAAGGTACTGTTAGATAAGAAAGTGTTGTTGAGAGATCCTAAGAGGTCTCTTGCTACTAGGGTTGCTGGGATTCAAAACAAGCTGTGACTCCTAAATCTGACTGAACTACATGTTACATGTCTTCATAATTTATTTGACCGCTGCTCTGTTTGGAGCACGGGGGTTGGTAGCCCTTTGAGGATGATGGAGTATTGATGCCTCTTATTTTAGATGTAGTTTTTGAAAATCCTGTTATTCAAATTCCGCTTAATTATAACACAAACCATTTAGAATCTTTATAAAATCCTACATATTCTGTGCTATTTACAAGTGACATTTGCCTCACAGTGCTTATGTAATAATGATACTTATATAGAACTCCAGAAACTCTCTATAATTAAAGTAAAATCATTCCGAATGTAGAAATGACTGCAGGAAACCATGAAAATTCACTTAATTTATACCCTATCTCCAGTGCACAAAATACATTCATGGCCCTCTAATCTAAGATTTAACTACCTCCTTTGATTACATATTCCAGTATGTTCTTTGGAATAAAGAGATTTATTTAAACCTATTGCCTTAGGGCAACAGCTCCTAAATTCATTCCACAGAAAGGCTGTTTTTGCAGAGTGCCTGTTAACATCTATTCGAACAAGTCTAGGAAACACTGCCTTAGGGGCTATTTCTAAATGATTGCTTCCTAAACCTGGTGTTATATTTACAAAAGGGTAAAAATTAACTGGAGTGTCAAAAAGCATATAAAAAATTCATACCATACAAACTCACCTAAAAACAGTATGGTTTTATACAATTGTTCTTGGGGGTAGTCTTCAAAACTTCAAATGGTTCCTACCTTTTTAAAAAATACACTAATTATTCTGGAATATACTGAATTGGATGAAAAGACTAGATAGATGGTACATAACAGGTGCTCAATATTTGGAATTTTAATTTTAATGTAAATATAATCAGATAAAAAATGTAAACTTTTAAGTTCAGTTCCCAGGCTGAAATCATGGTTTATATCTCTATTTCTCCCCCTCTTCACAGTTTCAGAGTTAACATCTAGTGTAGAAAGTAACCGTTTTTCAGTGGAAAACTATGCATTATCTATAGCACCTTTCCAGGTTATCATATTCTAGCCCTCTTCATTGCCTTTAAACCTCACAACTCATTTTATATTGTGGGTAACTAACTTACACTCCTGTAAATTCTGTCTCCAAAGGTAAAGGCTCAAAATATCTTCCCTTCTACTCTGGAAAAAAACTTTTGTCTCCATTTGCAATTTCACCTCTACATTCCTTTAATGTATACGGTCTGACTTACACTTGCCCAGTTCTCTCATATGAGTAAAATGAAAATTATGTTTCACTTACCGTTTTTATGGAAACTGTCTTTTAACACTGGAGAAATGAAATAATAAAACTGACATTTATTCACCAGCTTCTTTACATTCTGGCCCGAATTTCAACCGCTAATCAAGAAACCACACAAAACCCTGTTTTGTTTTTTTAACTGACCACTTAACTTACCCACCTCCTCCCAAAGGAAAATCACAAAGGAATCAAATGGAAATGCAAGTCGCAATGCTTTAATTTTATCTTTAAATTAAAATCAAACCTTTGCTGAGTATCTGTGTATAGGATGATTTCCACTTTGGCCCCTCCTCAAAGTACAGAATGATGATATGGCACTACCATCTTCATTTGCCCAACAAGAAAACAGGGATAGTAATTTGTCCCTTAATCTTGCCACAGGTTGCTTAAGCAAAGGATAAGTCTCCAGATTTAGCCCTCTGCTAGGCAACCATCAGTACTCTTCTAAAAGTTACATACTCTGCAGTCATAAGACCTTTAACAATTCAATAAAATGGCATATACATATATACTTAAAATATGTCCTTTCAATTCTCTGATTCACATTCACAGTAGTATTTGCTCAGGTTACCTTAACTCCAACTCAAAAACACCACATTCTTTCCTCACTTCCTTTTGGCCTTCTCTTCGCTATTTGGTTTCCAAAGAGTTAAGACCACTGCCCCTGTTAGCCTTTTCTGAACTAATTTTTCTACAGAGTTCTCTACTGCTTTTCCTTATTGCTTCCCCCTAACTTATGTCCTACATCTGAGGTCCTTGGGTGGAATTCAGAGGGTGTCTGAACCTAAATGGCAAAAAAACCCGCTTAATGTTCACCATCTTTAACTGAAATTTAGCACTTTCTTCTATTAAATGAAGGTAACATACTGCTGTAGCTGTGACTTTCTCATCAGTGGAAATCAAGTATTTTTATATCATATGCTAGTAGTTGCAGATCTCAAAAAATTGCCTATGCCCATCATTACTACCAGACACCTTTCCAGATCTAGTTACTTAATGTGCTAACAAAGAAGCACTTTCTTTAAACACTTTATATTAAAGGACTTAATTTATGAAAAAAATCTTAAATTTGTTTTGAAAATATTTTTAAGGTATTTCATAATTTTATTATTTTGTTCATAATCTTATATATTGTATTTTATACATTTAAAATGTTGTTCTGAGAAGACTACCCAGGATTCATTGAAGCTTTCCAACGCACAAAAAAGGTTTAAAGTCCCTACCCAAATCAGGGAACCAAAACAAAGGCTTACTCCATTGTTTGGTTCTAAGCAGCTTTAGAATGCAAAGAATATATCCTCCTTAAGGGTCTACCAAAAACAAAACAAAAACAAAAACCTGCAATTTATTTTGTTCCCTGAAGTTTTCCTCAGTCTAGATTATTGGCATTTTCATTACAGTTCTACTTGATTAGTATGCGCAAGGGCCAGAAGCATTAAGTCTTCACAGTAACTAACACTTGTATAGTACTTATGGGGCAGGCATTCTTTTCATCACTTTACCTGTATTACCTCTTTTAGTCCTCACAAATACTCCTTGAGGTAAAGGCCATTATTAATCCCATTTCTAAGAAACTGATGAAACCAGACCAAGTACCTTGCTCAAGGTCAAGCACCCAGTAAGGAGTAGATTTGGAAATTTTAACTGAACATGTGGATCCAATCTGTACTCCTAACCTAATCTGCCCAGAAAACACTTTTTAAAAAGCAGAAATAAAACAGGTTCCAAGGACTAGAATGAAGAAGGTCAACAATGTTAGAAAGTAATATATAAGACTGAGAAGCACAAACAGGAAAAAGATTTGAGGTAACATTCAACACCTAAACTTTCTAGAAACTTTAAGTTGGAACTAACAATTCCCCAAACATCTTTCTTCTATCTGCAAAAATAATTCTTTCCCATCTCGAGTGAAACTTTCGGTAATGACCCCATGCCATACATATCCTTCAGTCGGTGATGTAATGATGCAGAATTTAGGAACGGGGTGTGTATCATAGCGTTTATTCCTAAAACTAGCCAAAAGGACGAGAAAATGAAGAATTTACATCACACTCCTAGAACACTTTAAAGATTTAAAAAATATATTCAGATTCTACTGCCATGTATTATGAAAAGAAGGTTCACACTATGCAGTAATACCTTTGAATTGTCAAGACATTTTGCTGATCGTACTGGATATAAACTTAAAATTAATATCACTTTAGTTATTACTGGCGACTTACCTAAACACTAGACGATTATGGAGATCCATTTCAGAGCTTAAAAAAAAGTCTGATTCCAAAATACCTGGCACTTGCGAAGCCACTGGCCCACACCTAAAAACATCTGCCTTTACCACTGTTACCTAAAATCTTCCAGGTCGTCCCCTTTATTCTAGTAAAAATGTTCAGAACAGTAATCGTACTTCAACGGTAATTTCCCTCTCCGACTCAGAAGACGACCCTCTCAATTCTGCTCCTCCGGAAGAAAAGCCGCCTGTCAGGCACACCCCATTCCCATCCACAAGACAGAAGTAGACATAATATCCCACCTTTAGTAGAGTCACCCAAAGCCCTTAAAACGAAGATCTATCTACTCTTCCCATCCTGAACAGCATGTAAGGGTCAAGAAAGTGACACAATCCCCAAACTCCTCTTAAAAAGTCACTAACACACTCTGGCTCCTCCTTCCAACTTTCTCAGAAAAAACTCTAACTTGCCTTTTAAACTACTGGAATCTCAGATCCGCACTCTCCCCAAATCTCCCGAAGGCCCAAACACTGCCCAACCACGCAAAAGGATCTCAGAGCAGACCCCTTCAGACCCTCCTCCCACCACGCTCTCTTAAACCACTCTCCTTCGCCAAGTTTCTGCTTGCTCTCGGCCCCTGCTCAAAATCCCCATAGAGACAAGTTCGATTTTCTCCTCCACGCCCGCGTTTTCCTGCGGGTGACACCTCTCCCTCCCCCCCCCCAAAGCAGCCCGCCCGCCCCCGCACCGACAGTTTAAAAAGAATTTAAAACTTTCATTCCAGAGTTCCGTCCACACTGCTCTGGGCTGCACTCACATTCTCGTCTCCAGAGAGGTCGGGGTTGCTGTTCTCGTCGCTGCTCAGCTTCTGCTTCTTGGCCGCAGGCATGTCTGTTCCCGCCGGCGCTGTCGACACTTCCCTCTCGGACATATTCCTCCGCCTCCCTCCAGGTTCCTGCCGCCTAGGGCGGGGCCTCCGCCACACCGCCGTCAAGCAAGCCCGGCCGGAGCCTGCCGCAAAGTTGCCACTGCCGCCGCCACCTCCACCGCTCCCCCCACTGTCGCAAACCGCGCCCAGCCGCCGAGGCGGGCGTGCGTGCGACCCCGCCACACTGCTGAAAAAGGGGCGCGCGTGCGCGCCCTCCCGCGCAGCTTCCTGGCTCTTTCCCTTTCCCTGCTCCCGTCTTGCCCTTTTCCCGCCGCCCTCTCGGCAGTTTGCACGGAGAGGTGAAGATCCGTTAGCTTTCGAGAGCAGTATTTCGTACGTCCCCTTTCCCTACTGCCGCCTCGAAAAAGGAGGAGCGGAACTCAAAGGGATGCCCCCTCACCCCCTTCCTCCTTCCAAAGACGTTTCAGCCGCAATCGGCCCAATCCTTCGATCCCCGACCCGCTGCAAGGACTCGAAAGTCTGTGGAATGGACTAGACCACCAATGTTCCAGGGGATGGGGGAAGATACGAGAAGTCACCTCTTGCTTTAGCGGCATATGCCAAGCGTCCTTAATCTTGAGTTCGGAGGACAACTCTCTCACGTAATTCATGGAACTGTTGAAGCTCTAGCTTTTGGTTGTCATTAGGAGTTGGGAAACTGTAGAGAGCCTCTCACTTGTCTCCCCCATCTAACAAATGGAAGTTACCCGCTAAGAGCTGCGCATGCGCTGGGGCGTATTCTCGCGCTGGGTTGTCCAGACCCGCCTACTCGGGCCCCTCCTCTTCGAAATCTTGTTTGCTGAACCAGGTAGTCTTCCACCGGGTTCCTATAGTCCGGGATGGATTTCGAAGAACGACAAAGTCATAGTGTCTGGATGCGTCCTAAAGTCTTGATGAATATTTAATATAATGAATATTTATTTCAATCAGTGATTCTTCTCACCCAATTGGTACCAACATTGGGTATCGTTTAATTTAGGAATATCCTGTAATTATGATTCTAGACTCCAATGAGTTATAGCCTAAAGGGCTCTTTTTAACTGTTAAAAAAAATTGTGAAGGTCTGAAAATAAGTAGTTATCTCCAACTATGTACAAGGCTATGATACTTAACAGACAAAATTTGGAGACATACCAGATAAAATTTTAGGGAAAGGCAACATAACTGGTATACTTGACCAAAATGTTTCCAATAAGTGTTAGTATATCTGGGCTCTTGACATGTGTCATATACATTGGCGAACCTTGTGGATTTGTTAGATGGTTCATTAAGTCACGTAATCAAATCAGGAAAAGGAGGGCCAGGACAAGAAATAAAAGCCAGACCCTCAGCCCCCTTTTTGGTAGCTCTTAGTTGTGACTACTTCTCTTTCTGGGCCTCATTGCCCTCATCTATAAAACTGAGGAAATTGGAAGGGACCTGACACTTCTTGAGCACCTACTTAATAATACATATTTTTTCTCTCTTATGACTCATTACATCATCCAGTGGATAACCTGAATAGAGTGCCCCATCCGTAAAATTCTTGTGTACTTGAATTATTTTTGCATGATTCCTTAAGAGAGAATATCAGTTTCATTATCTGCAGCTTGCAAAGTCACTTTTCCTTTTGGGAACGGAGTTAAGAATGATAAAAAGGAAGGTAAGGTAAGGCAAAGGGCAGAATAAGGTTTTTGCAGTGAAGATTTAGGAAAAATAAGCTGAAAAAAATTAAAGTTCAGGTCTTAATAATAATAGTAATTGCAGTCATTTGCTGAATTCTTCTAATGTTCCAGGCACTACTAATTACTTCTCAATTGGTGAGAAAGAGATGACACTTGTATGGAGTCAGCCACTGAGAAAGTAAGATGTGCTTTGGTATGACATTTTCATGGACAGAGACAAACTTCCCCTGTCTGTTGAAAAGATTGTGAAACTTTGCTCTACAGTTAAAGACTAATCAACTAAAACATTTCCAATCCAAATTACTCTATGTGTCTGGGATCAGTAGGAGCTGGGAAGTGGGAGTCAAATTCTGATCATAAAATGAGGAAAGTTGCTGAACATTTGAATAAAGGACATATATGGAAGGAAAATGCCTCTAAGCATGCATGTTATCTGTAACAAAGCAAAAATACTTTTAAAGAGTTTTGTTACAACTTGCAAGGATATTTTAATTGTTTTAATTTTTTATGGGTCAGGGACAATAAATGGAAATTAGTTAAAGCTCATTACTGATGTTAAAAAATCATTTTGACACTTGTTAAAATAGTAGTGAACTTTATTCAGGATTATTGTAATAGGTGTCAAGACTGTTGCAATAGGAAAGAGATAGGGCTCAACTCTGAAACACAGCAAGGACAAGTGAGGACTTATAATCAAGGAGCAGAGTTGGAGGTGAAGGAGTTTAGGACTTGCCATCCACAATATGCTGCTTTGGTATATTGGTGATTTTGAGCTAAATGCACTTGAAAAAAAAAGGCTTCCTCTAAACTCTTCTTATCTGCCTGAAGACAGATCCTCCAAAAGGAGCTCAACTGTTATAAATCCCCTCCCCAGGAGTTTCATCAACCAGAGAAGACTGACTTATCACAGAAAAGACTAGAAGTCACACCACACCCAGACAGACTTTGTCACAAACTATCATAGCTCCCATATATTCTAATGACCTATTCATCTTTCCAAAAATCATTTACTTTTCCCTGTGTGACATACATCTCCCAACTCCTTCCCCTATGGAGATGGTATAAACTCAAATCTCACTGCTTTTTGGGGTATTCGCTTTTTTCCCCCTGTGATGCTCTGTGCATGTTGTATTAAAAGTTAATAAATGTGTATGCCTTTTCTCCTGTTAATCTGTCTGTTAGTTTATTTCCTAGACTCAGCTATCCAACCCAGGAGGGTAGAGGGAACGTTTCCTCCCCTGTGGGTGGGTGGGGGATGGGCAGAAACTTAGTAAGAGGAAACATCCAGGGTAGGAGGATTCCTGTAAACTGACTTGCCAGGATGATCAGATATCCAGAGTGGGGAATAAGAATTTGATCAGCTATCAAGGGTGGGGATTCTCTCTAAACTGATTTAGGATTCTTGCTACAACTGGACTAGGGACACCAAAGACAGGACCCAAGGATAAGGCCTATTGAGAAGAGGGCCCAGAGGAGCCACACTACAATTTGGTCAAGAGGAGAGTCTTTGTCACTAATCTAACACATATAAAATATCATAGGTGTCTTATTTGGAGTGCTATCTCTATGGCATTAATTTAATAAACACAAAAGACTACCTATTAAAAATAATAAATTTTCAACACCAAATTACTGTGAGGGATTTCAGAAACCATTACAGTTTAAGTCTTACCACCCACAGTTTTACAAATGTGGAAACTATGATTTAGTGTAATTAAACAATTTGCCCAAAGACACACAGCTCTTCAACATGGCAAAGCTGGGGTGCCCCAGTGGTTCAATTGGTTAAGCATCCAACTAAGGCTCAGGTCATGATCTTGAGGTCTGTGATTTCAGGCCCAGTGTTGGGCTCTGTGCTGACAGCTCAGACCCTGGAGCCTGCTTCAAATTCTGTGTGTGTGTGTGTGTGTGTGTGTGTGTTTCTCTCTCTCTCTGCCCCTTCCCCACTTGCGCTCTTTCTCTCTCAAAAATAAATAAATATTAAAAAAAAATTTTTTTAAACAACATGGCAAAGCTAAGGATCATATTTAGGTCTGATTGGTTGGAAAGGCAAAGCGCTTTTGCCTCAAGGTGATAAACCCAGGCAGCTCTAGATTTATGTAATTCTACTCAGATGCTTGGTCTTTAGACCACATAATCTTCTATACACTATCAAAGAAAGCTACCTAACTTGAGACAGAAAGAAAACATAACTGGAGAAACAAGGGAATCCAAATGAAGTCTGGAGTTTAGTTAATGGTTACAGACATATTCTAGTTTTTTAAATTTTGACAAATGTGCCGTGGTAATATAAATGTTAAAAATGAGGGAAACCGAGTGAAGGGTATACAGGAAGTCTCAATACTATCTTTGTAACTTTTCTTTAAAATTATCCCCTGTACACCAAAAACCTACTTAAAAAAAATCTATTTCATATTAGACTTTGGGGAACACTACACAGAAATACCCATTAGACTTCAAATAAGTGGTTGATCCATCTTGAAAAACTTATAAAGATCATTTATTTATAAAGAAAAGAAACTTTACAGCCTCCCTTCCTATTGTTTTATAGTATCATGTAAGCTTCAACTCAGGAAATGAGTTTCAAAAGCTAAATTAAATCCTTCCCATTTCAATTGAAGTCTATTTCTCATTCATTCAACATTTTTTTGTCTCTTCTGCTTCATAAATAGCAGCTGTTCATCATCACTCATGCACTCTGTAATCATAGCCTTGCAGATCCAGTTTTCTATGAACAGAACATCATATGGCTTCTTTGAACATTTTAAAATCAATCAGGAGGAATTTACTGAATGCCATTTATGTGCAAAGCATTAAGGTAATTATATGGGCGGG